CAAACCATAAGTCCAAATGACTAAAATTATGATATTGATGATCATAATTTTTTGAGAACCTAGGAAAGCAATCATATTTTGGGGGCTTGAGGCTTTTGGATCATGGATCAAACTGAAATGAAGCAGGATGAATTGACTTTTTTAAACAGCAGATGGGCATCTTTTAATAATGTCTCTGTTGTGATGTGACCTCTTATGTTTATCTGATACTTACTCAAGTTAACCTAGTCCAAGTTTAACTAAATCAAGTTGAATTGACAGTCTGCAGGTCTTTTCTCTGGTTTACCTTAATGTATTACATTAAACTGTTGAAAGGACTGTATTTCATTTTTTGAGATGCTGTCTTAAATACACAAGTTATTTCATTTGCTTGAATTTCCTGTGCCATCTGCCCTCTTCACAGGGGTTAATTCAAAGGCAGCCACTCCATCCTCTTCCCCATCTGGGTCTATGATTCATCTGTATCCATCCCTTGGGGACTACAAATATGAGCCCTCCAAATTCTGCTCATACTGCTAATCATGCTGCAATTCGAAGTGATTACTCACTGAAATATGAGTTAATGCTATGTTGTGCCTAAGGCTTATGCTCAAACTGTTCAGTATTAATAGTGAATTCAAAATCTTTGAAGGGCTGATGATAAGCTCCTGCTGAGGTCTAAAGGAGGTCCTCTGCCATCTTTGGTGATAACTATCTTAGTTTACAAAGGAGCAATACCTCTTCTGCTTTGCTAGGTAAACGTGTAGCATTTTGAGGCATGTTGAACACAGTTTTAACAGGAAAATTTTTAGAAGATGGGTACTAATGCCTATAGCTTACATAGTATTAAATATTTCTCAGTGAAAATTATATTTTAAAAATAATTCTGTGTTTCTTGCTTTTTATTGCATGTATGAATTAAGGTATATTTTCTGGTTTTCAACTAATCCAATGTCTTTTCTGTCTAATGCTCTTAAATGTCTTATTCTAACTTCCTAAGGACAGTGGGTAATAAGGTGAGGGCATTTTAACTTTTCTGCTATTTTTCTTATTGCAACAATATATATGTTTTTATTTTAGTCTTCTGCCTGTTGTTCAGTCATCCCTTTATTTAGTAATGTGCAATCCATCAAGCGCATTCCCAGTTGTAATGTGTTGTGAACATTTTGCAACACTTGACATGTGAAAAATCTGGCTTATATTGGTGAAGTATCTTCAGAAATGTCTTTGTACTTTCCCCTCTAGATGAGACATCCATTTGTTTTCTGTATTACACATCTAGAAGTATATGTCCTGCATAATACAGTTCTTGTTTCTGCACCCTACCTCACTGTGATCTTGACATGTGCTACAAGAACAGGCTTCTGATAACTATTACTCTTCTTCCATATGGCATGGATCTATTGTCCAGAAGCATAAACTTTCTTCCATATAATAACTGTTATTTCTATTCTTGTCACCAAATCTACTATGGCCAGGATTTGGAAATGAACTTGCTCAGTGTAGCCTCATAAATTCTAAGCATCATCATTGAAGTTAGAAATAATAAAATAGTTATTGAATCTCAAATGTACTCCTTAGGGGCATATGAAACTACAATAGTGCCATGAATCTGTGTCTTCATTCATTGATGTTTAAAGTGAGAGTTGTCTCTGGCACTTCAGAAATTCTAGACAGCATTTTTCAGTAAAATGTACATAAAGATCACAGAGTGGTAGAAAAAAAAAAACCCAAAGAACAAAACCACATCAGAAGCCCTTAAAGTTAAATACTTACATGAAACTGTTCTTGTGAGCAAAACAATACTGCATGCCCCACTGATTTGTGATCACACTGATAGAACCTTACAGTGAGATATTAAGTTCAGAGACTTCTGTCTGTCTTCCTCTGTTTTGTTTGTAAGTTTGTTAATTTTCCCATTCTTTTGAGAGAACTTTATAAAAAGTCTGAAAAGTAAATCAAGCCTGTGTTTCCCCACAGCAAAAGTTCTGCTAGAGCAGCAGGGAACACTCCCTGTTAAGAAAGATGTTATTGTGGCATGTTTATATCCCTGCAGATTAACAGTCTGTATTGTCTACTTAAATTCTTGCACTTAAAATCTTAAATTCTGATGAAACAAAGGATTTGATTTAGTAGATCATTACCTGCTTGATTCATGGCAGAGGTGGTATAAGTTAGGTGTAAGAGGAGATATAAGTTAGACCTGAGTGCTGCCAGGGTCATGGGATGCTGATAATATGATACAGTATTTTTTGCACTGATGCTTTGTCCTTGTTTTATTACATGCCAACATTTCAGGCCAACCACTGCTTGTAACAATGAGCCCTAAGCCTGGAAAATGCTTACATTCTTTAGCCACAAGTCTAATTAAAAAACCAAAATTCCAATGTTATTGGAGTCTTGTTTATTTGTTTGTTTGCAAGCTTAGCAGTGTAAACTAATACCTTGTAACATGGCTGAATTCTCCTTTGGTTTTCTGAGCTGCAGCTTCAGTTGGGAAGAGCACAAAAGCAAAGTAGGGTATCCATCCATACATGCTCATAAATGGCCTGAAGTGATAGAAGTAACTCTGGGAATAACTCAGATAAATGTCTTATGGAGATCTATTGTATACCATCAGCAACATGTGAAAGGCAATTTAATCTTGTGTTTTACAATGCCCTTCACTGCAGCTGAAGCCAATATCTATAAAGTCTCCTTAAGAATGATCACTGTTATCATTTAAGGCTGAACTTTTCTATACCTGTATCTTTGGCTCCATTTAACCTTCATTTAGCACAAATGCTCTGGTTAACATTGCTTAATCCTCACACTCTTGTCTCTTACTTCCCTCCAACAGACATCTCAGCCAAGCCCTGGTGGTCAGTCTACATGCAGCAGCGAACAGTCCCCCATCAGCAACTATTCCAACAATGGGATCGAGCTTACTCTGACCGGTGGTGGTAGTATAGGAGACCTCAGTGTCATCGATGAAACCCCAATCATGGACTCTACCATTTCCACAGCCACCACAGCACTTGGCTTACAGGCCAGGAGGAATATGACAGGGACCAAATGGATGGAGCAAGTGAAATTAGAAAGGTTGAAACAAGTTAATGGAATGCTTCCAAGACTGAACCCCATTCCACCTTCCAAAGCCCCAGCCTTGCCGCCTCTCATAGGAAATGGTGAGATACACATAAGAGGAGTGATAACGCTTTTTATCTTTCATCTTATTGCTTGCTAGCTCAATCTTGCAACTCTTGCAGGAGTTGCACAGCTTACAAAACTCAACAGCTGTGAAATGGTTTGTATAGATCATTTTCTGTTTATTCCCTCATTGCAAGTTCTTCTACCCACCCTCCAAGAAGTCTGATAGTCCTGTGTTTTACAGAACAGGAGATAGTGAGGGAGCCATGAATCACATTTTAAATATTCCCTAGTTAAAGGTTTTGACCCAAGATAATCATAATTCTGTCTTGTTTTGAGATAAGGCAGAAGAAATAAATACCTGTGAGTTTACTTTATGGAAGTCTTTCTGTAGAGGCCTTTGCAAGGCAGCCTTTGCAGAGATGTGGTAGGTTTCCCTTTAAATAACCTGTTCCTACACATAGAACAAATCATATGTACAGATGCTACTGCTGCAGAGGGCAGCAGTATGAATAAGAGGCTGAACTCTGAAGATCCTCAGTTGTTTACCTCCAAAGAGCTGCTCATGACCAAAATGGATGTTGCTGCTGCCCCTACTCGGCCTACAGCATGCCTGTAGGTTTCTGGGCTCCACCCAGCAGTGGCAGCCCAGGTTTTCTGAGACCCATTCAGTCAAAAGAAACTATGTAAAATTAAGAAATGTATCCTGTTTACTTCAAACCAAACCAAAACAAAACAAGGAAACCGGCAAAAGATGTTTTGCAGTTGTTAGGAGCTATTTTAAGAATATTTCAAGAAGCCTTAGAAATGACCTTGAATAGCCTCCAATTTGTATATTTTGCTTTTCCATGCAAATGCCTGTTCAATTATATTTTGCCTATAAAAAGCTCTGTTACAAATGTGTCCTCCTGGCACATCAGCCAGCATAGCTGCACTGCAGGCTAGAGCACTGCACCAGCTGATGACAATTTGTGGCTATGGGCTATAAATTTTCTGCTGGGATTCACACTGAAATGTTACCCTTGAGTCTCTGAATTAGCTTTTAACCTGAGGACGCAGTTTTTCTCTCTACTTCTTGCAAGAAAGAGCCCTGATATAATTGGCTGTGATGATGTTCTTCCTCTATACTCCACCTACTTTGTTACTGTTTGTTTTCCTCACCAGTTTCTGGATAATACCTCTTTGTTTAACTGTGAATTTTACCCGCAGGTACCCAGTCGAACAGCAGCTGCAGTGTCGGAGGATCCATGACTATTCTGCCAAACAGGAATGAGCTCTCCAGTACGGACATCACTGTGTTGAACATGCTGAACAGGAGGGACAGCAATACTAGCACAATCAGTTCAGCCTACCTGAGCAGCCGCAGGTCCTCTGGAATCTCACCTTGCTTCTCCAGCCGGAGGTCCAGCGATGCCTCCCAGACAGAGGGAAGACCGCAGAACGTGAGCGTTGCAGACTCCTATGACCCCATCTCAACGGATGCCTCCCGGCGCTCCAGTGAAGTGAGCCAGTGTGATGACCTGCCAAGTCTTCTCAGCCTCACCCCAGCCCAGCAATACAGGCTGAAAGCTAAATATGCAGCAGCTACTGGTGGACCCCCACCAACTCCACTGCCTAACATGGAGAGGATGAGCCTCAAGACAAGGATGGCACTCTTGGGTGACTGCAGGGAGTCTGGAGTATCTCCACTGCCTCCAGTGAACATCCCTCGAAGATGTAGTGATGGTGGGGCAAATGGTTACAGCAGGAGACATTTTCTGTCTCATGAAGCTTTAGGAAATGGGACAAGGAGAGCCAGTGATCCAGTCAGAATGGCCTCCGACAACCTTTCTGTCCCACGAGTCCAGCGTTTCAACAGTCTTAATAGCTTTAACACTCCTGCTTTGCCTCCATCCATGGAAAAGCGCAACCTTGTTCTTCAGAACTACACCCGTTCTGAGGGTGGCGTCTTCCGCGGCTTCAGCTCTCCCTGTCCTCCAAGCATCAGCGAGAACGTCGCCCTGGAGGCTGCTACAATGGAAGCAGGTAGCAGTCTGAATGATGAGGATCTCCTGCCAGATGACGTGGTCCAGTATCTGAATTCCCAGAACCAGGGCATGTATGACCATTTGTTCAACAATGTTCTAGATAGCAACAAAATGCATCACAGCTCAGTTTCAGGAAACAACAATTCCAGCAACTTTGACCAAGCCCCTACACCGAGCAGTCAGCAAGCGGGTCCTGAGGCAAATAAGAGTGACTTGCCCATTCAGTGGAATGAAGTAAGCTCAGGAAGTTCTGACTTATCTCCGTCAAAACTGAAATGTGGTCAGCGGTCAGCAGTGCAGCAGGCTCGGGCCTTCAGACTGCATAACAATATGATGCTTCAGCAGCAGAACCTGGAAAGAAGCAACATAGCCCAGCAGAATGGCTATCAGAACGCGATGGAGAACAACACTTCCTACAGTTTACAGCAAAATATGACTCCTGCCAGCAGAGCCGGGAATTCTTTCAGCATGCAGCCCAACAAACCTTACAGTGAAACCATGGGCAGGCAAGCAATGATGTCTGGGGTGACAGACAATTCCTGTGGCATGGCAGTGCAAGGGCAGAAGCTGAGAATCAGCAACATGCCAGTGAATGGGAGCCAGCAAAATTTCAGCCATCCCCTGGCATCCAGTGATGAAACAAGCAGTATGGCAAATGGGATGCAGGACAGGAATATAATGGAACAGGAATATTTGCAAAGCCAGCCAGTAGGAGATGGAATTCGTTACCAGGGAGTCAATCAATCTGGTCAAATGATGCTAGGGCAGGTTAGTCCTACCTCACAAGGCAGCCTGTATCAAGGGCCACAGAGTTGTCCACTGGTGTCTCACACCATTGGTAGCCAGCCTTCAGGTTTGTCAGTGGCCAAAAGTTACCAGTCATGCTCTAATTACAGCAGCAACAGACGGCAAAACGTGTTGAGAAACAACCTGTCCCAACAGCAAAGACACATAGGTGATGGCAACCAGACATACAGGGTAAACACCATTAAGATGGAAATGCAAGGTCAATCACAGCAGTTCTGCTCTAACATACAGAATTACTCTGGTCAGTTATATGACCAAACCATGGGCTTTAGCCACCAAGCTATGAAAACAAGTTCTTTCTTTGGTTCAGAAGCCAGCTGCCTGCTGCAGGGGACTGCAACTGAAAACTCATCTGAGCTTCTTTCCCCGGGGACTAACCAAGTGTCAAGTACAGTTGACAGCATTGACAACAACAGTCTAGAGGGTGTGCAGATAGATTTTGATGCTATCATAGATGATGGGGACCATGTCAGCTTAATTTCGGGAGCCCTGAGCCCAAGTATCATTCAAAATGTCTCCCGCAATTCCTCACGCCTCACCACTCCCCAAGCATCTCTTACATTCCCAGCTATGCCTGTAAGCACAACCAACATGGCTATTGGGGACATGAGCTCTTTGTTGACCTCACTTGCAGAAGAAAGCAAGTTTCTTGCTGTTATGCAATAGACATAAAAAACAAAAAAACGCTTAGGAGATAACAGATGGAAAAAAAAGACTCATATTTTTTAGTTGTGTATGTATTTTAGCAATCTCATCTCACCTAAATGGGATGTGTTTCAAGTATATTCCTTTTATGGAATAAGGACTCTGAAAACCCTAAAGTGTTCTAGGGAGAAACTGTCTTCCATTTCAGTTTTGAATCAGTATTGCTATGCCCATTCCCTCCCTTTCTCTCTTTTCTCTCTCTTTCGTGCCCTTTTCAAATGTCTGTATGCTTCTTTTATTTTTGTTTTATTTTTTACCTGTAAACCAATGTAAACGTGTGAAGTGCATGTTGTGGGGTTTTTGTTTTGTTTTGTTTTGGGGTTTTTTTGTAAAGAAAGGCCTGATGAAATGATAATTTTCTGTTACTTAAATGAAGCTAGACCTTGTAAAACTGTTGCAACTTTTCCTCTTGAACTTATAACCAGGCACAATGTGAAGTGAGCATACAGTGATGAAATCCTCTCTGGATGCACTGGACACATCACACTGAGGTGGAAAACCAGCTTAGAAATGCACTGCCATGGTACCCCTGGGCTGCAGTTTCAGAGACATGGAGCACAAAAAGTTGTGAGGTTCAAGTAAATAAGAAATGTAAAAACCATCAGCTCTTTGATATCTAGCAAAAGCTGAAGGTTTTTGCAAACGCACACAGAGACAGCAGTCACTGCCTTGAATAACAATACTGAACTTGTGTCATGTTTGACCTATTTCAGAGGAAGGAGAGGACCAGAAAGCTGTTTGTTGTCCAACTCTCATCTTTTGCAGTATTGGTATTCTGGTTTTCAGCCTTCTTTTTTAAATGACCGAATAGCAAGATTATGGGCATGTATAGTGACTTTGGTAGTCTACAGTCTTCCCATTGCATACCACATTTGTGGAGATACAGTCAGGGTGTTACTAAGTATTTCATACAGTGAAAACACAATATTGCAGTATTTCATACTGGGGATTTTTTTTTTTTTTTTATGCAAATTGTTCAGGTTTAACTTGCTGAGCCACTGGTTCTTATGTGCTGGAAGAACTATATGTATATCCCCTTTAGCCCAGACAGCTCCATGGATACATAGAGCTTCAAAAACATCATGGGCATGTCATGTAAAAGAAGTAGAAAATGAATGACTGGCCCAGTTCTCAGACTAGCCAAATAAATCAAAGCAGTTGCAAGCAATCTGATAATCTTAAATGTTTTTCCACTGTGTCCAGGCTTTACAAAACCAAGAAATTACGACTGCCATTAAAAATAGCAAATAAACAAGGGGAACTGCAAGTATTCAGAGATCACAGACTATTCTGATCTGGAATTATTATCAGGTCCAACTCTTCAGTGAATGGCCTGTATGAGAATCAAACCCACAACTTTGATGCTATTAGCACTATGCTCTAACCAACTGAGTTGTCTGGCAACTAATCAAAGCTCAGAAAGACCAGCCCAGCTTCTTTCTCTCTCTCTTGGTGACACCATGTGTATTTAATTTCCAAGCAAACCAGTGGGTCAATGCCCAGGGTCAGTTACACTAGCAAAAAATTGAAACCAACGCACTGTGATCATTAAGCTACTCACTGGTAGAGGTGAATGGCATTTTCTCTGTGAGCACTGGCTTGTTTTTGGCTCTGCTGTGCTCCATGTCTGCACCCATAGGTGTGCTCCTGAGTGAACAGGCTGCTGTGGGGAGCAATTACAAGACCACAGCTTAAATTCACCCACTCCAAGAAGCTGCATGGAGTTCCAGCCCTTGAAAACTTCTCAATTAAATCCCAATAATGAAGTCCTACTATGGGATGAAGATTGTGCAGGCACTTACAGTCATGGATTTGATGTCTATAAGGAGCTGATGTTATAGTAGGCATATAGCAAGAGGAGGGAGCATAATCAGTTTTAAAATACAGATAAACTTTAGCCCAGTCAAAATCAGAAGGTGACTTCTGTGGGCTAGAAACCATAGCATTTTTTTCAAAAGGTGAAATACCAGCTGATTCAGGACATGGCATTTGAGGAAATGTGTAGGAATTTAATCTCAGTGAAGCTGTCAGATAACACTGATCTGTTAGTAGCTGTTAGAGTCAGAGCATGAATGTGTAAATCAGTAGGAAGACATCATCAGAATCTGGTACAGGGGCCATATTTGAGATTATCACAGCATGTACCAAGAGATTTGCACTGTGAGCTGGAATGTGAGAAATCAAGACAAATGTAAATATCCTACACCTTTTATCATGATCTAGTTCCTATCTTTCTTTTATGTTTAGCCAGCATTTCTTTCTTACTCTGTCCCGTGCACACATATTCACTCACCCTGCACTTTTCTCTTTGACACTTCCCCTCCCAGCTTCCCTGCCCCTGACCAGCTATCACAGCCCGCCTGCAGGGGTCCTTGGGCTGCATGGGCAGTTGGGCACTGCTCACCATAGCAAATGACTGGATTGCTGTGGCAGTGGGAAAAGGGCCTGCAGAGACCTTCTGCCTGTACACAACCATTGTCCCTGCTCTGCTGCTGGGACAAGAAGCGATGCATCCCCCTGGGCAGGTCTCCAGGGGAAGGGATGTTCCTAGGGCTGTGCTGTGCATTGCAGTCCTGGGATACAGCCCACAGCCCTGCAGAGAAGCAGCACTATAGGCATAAGGAAAGGATGTGCTGGACATGTTTCAGATGGTTCTCAGTAGCCAATCTTGTCTGTTTATTAAAGCTATCAATTACATGTTTACAAACAATTTCAACAGGGAGACTTATGACCAGCCTGGGAGTAGGTGGCTTGGGAGAGAAGTCTTTTATTGTAATGGAACCAATACATTAAAAAAAACCCAAACATCCCCAACTATTTTTTAAATTCAATTTTCCAGTTCATAATTGTATCTGCTGGTGCAATTGATGCTGGGAAGCTATTAACAGATGTGATCCATCAGAGCTTAGACGGAGCCATTCATATTGCTCCAGGCTGAAAGAGACTGTTTGAGTAGCCAGTTTGTCTTCCTGGATTTGACAAACCTTTGTCACTCACTTAGCCTTGTCTTGGGCCAGCAGTGTGTCTTGGCAGAAACTACATGCTCAAGAAAGGCATCCCACTTGATTTGGCAAAGCTGAAGAATCAGAGACTCCACTGTGTCCTTGGGGAGTTTGTGCAAAGGATTTACCATTTTCACTATTAAGTGCATGTGCTCTTATGTATCACTTTTCAGTTTTTAGTGTTTTCTCATGCTTTTCTGTTTTATACTAAAGAGGCTGGTTTTGGTACCTGTGAGGGTAGCAATACATCGTAGCCCAGCTATCTTGGGTTTTAGTTCTTTTTTGATAAGGTAGACTGGTCTCTCTGAGCATGGCACTGTTACACTGGACACCAGCTTTCACTTTTCAACCTCCTTCTCAACATGTGGCAGTCTGGGGAAAGTCCTATCAACACTGGTGGGATGAGTTTACCAGCACCCCTCTACCCAGTTATAGAGTTGCTTTTGTGTATGCGGCACATCAGTAGATTTTTGCATAGCTCACAGTGCTCACCCAAGAGTACAAGAAACTGCACAATATATCATGACTTTTCTATTTTTAAAGCATTGCAGCATAAGTCTAAATCACCATTTCTTGTGAGGGTCTTCCATATGCATTACTGTTGGCCTTGGGCGCATCATTAACACTCAGCCTGCCTGAAGCGTGTGTGTTTCTCCAGGCAGTTTTACTTTCCACAAAGTGGAAGTTGCCAGTGAAAAGTTTATCTGTCATTTACATGCAGGTGAAGGAAAGGTGTGTTTGCAGGAAAGTCAGTGGGCTTCCATGTGGGAGTACAACGGTCCCACACATCCAACACCTGGCAGATGATGTTATTCTCTCCTTGGGGAATGGCCCCAGATGGTACGTGCATTATGATGCTGGCTGGCTGCTGACTTCCTGCCACTGCTTCCCCTGCCCCTCAGCTGGTCAGCTCACTTGTCCCGCCATTGCTTGTTCCCCTGCACAGCAGTGTTTGTATTCCCACAATGTATGTGCCTTATTTTGCGTTGACCCTGTGAAAGAGAGGGACCAGGATGTGTTGCCAAATTTTCCTGATGAGGCTGTACTTGCCATTGAGCTAATAGCACATACCACTGTTAATAGTGTCTGAAACATCTTGTAAACCTCTGTTATTCATGTGTTATTGTCCTTGGATTGGTGGAATATCTCCTATGGAACAGTTACTCTTGTCAGTCCTGCAGATGTGTAAGATAAAAGTGTTGCTTTTTTTAAATTTTTTAAATTTTTTTTTATAAAGCTTGTAATCCTTAAAAAAAGAGAATGTGTAAATACATTTATGTACGGTAGGAATAGTGTTCAGTTGTAACAGACCTTAGTGTTCTTAATTTGATAAACCTGCAGTTATGATCTGATGTTTCTCAAGCCTTAGGTTGATCTGAAGGGTCTGTAGCACTGTGTACATATGAACTGTACTTCTGCTTTCAGAACCACTTAGCTTTTTTGTAACAAAGAAAAAAATGTTTCTTATAATGTCAATAAAAACAAAAGCCTTTGTACTTAAGTTCTTAGCTCTCAGCTTCTAAAATATCTCCTTTGGGGGAGGGAGTTATTTTTTCATACATCTGAAAAGCCTGGTTGCAATCAGTGCTTTTATCGCTTCCACTCAGAACTGCTTTCCTCTTTCTGCTTTCCCAGTCTGTTGCTTCACTCTATTCACAGTTTAAATACAGACGGGAAAACAAAACAGGGTGTTTACCTTCTTGCTGAAGAAAGATGGCTGAAGAGTGTTGGGTGGAAAATACAGAGTCACACAGATGAAGTGTGACACTGAAGAGAGGAGAGAGACTTACCTAGCTACCTTTGTTGCAGGAGCAGTCAGTTCAGAGGCCAAAGCTAAGCTGTGCTGAACTCTGAGCTGTTCTATGGGGGCTGTGTTTCCATCCCTTGCTTGTCAAGGGTGTCTCACAAATGGTTTGCCCACCCATGAAGAAGCAAGGGAGGGAGGGAGGAAGAGAAGTTCTCCTGGCTGGGTTAATCTGTAGATGTCCACTCAGGTGGGTTACAGTGTGATCTGCAAAGACACAGTTATCTTCAAAGCTGGACATATTCAATGAATGCTCCTGTTGAGTGCAGTTGTTATGGATGGTGTCAAGTTAGTGGTGGCAAACAGTATAGAAAATGTTGTAGCACTGCTTGGTCTTAAGGTGTCTAATCTGTTCTAATTTCAAAGTCTTTTTCCATTGCTGGTACCTTGGCAAGATCCAGAGTACTCTGTTAGCTGTCAGTGCTCAGCTTCTGCCTTACCCCTTCCTCAGCCAAAATAGGTAAGCCATTTCCCAGGTGGTGGGTGATAAATTTGCATTGTTATTTGTTCATTTTAACTTTTATTTTTGTGTGTATATGTGTCCTCGTGTTTTGTTGCTCACCATTAAGTTTTTGTTGTTTGGCTCAGGTCTTAAGGTTTAGGAGGGACAAAGGGTGGAATGGAGAGCTAAAACCTAAAACATACCCATCTGAAAAGCCAGAGAGGCAGGAGAGCCCTGGGAGTGACGTGGTAGGGGTGAAGGAGACCCTGCAGTTTGAAAGGGAGGTTGATAGTGGCCATGGTGCCTTAGTTTATATGCTGCAATCATATAAATTCTCCCAGAGACTGGCAGTGCTTCAGCATCAGCTCACTTTGGGGGATGGGTGTGTGTGACAGTGGCTTCCTCGCAGCTTGGACCAACAGAAGGTCAGCAGCAGGGATAGAACAAGCCTCAAAGACATGATAAACAGCAGAGAAATGAGTAGGCTGTGGGGACTCAGGAATCAGTAGCAGGATCTATGCTGACAACAGATGATGGCTGCCAGGGGCTTAGAACTGATAGAGGCATTTCTGAGTCTTACTAGCTGCCTGCAGGTAGTGGGAGGTGAGGAACTCCCACTTCTTACATGCCAGTGCAGTGAAGTCCTGCACACATGCACGCGTGTGAGAGCATTGTGCTAAACAATGTCATCTGCATTGCACGCCGGCTGCCGTAAGAGAACCCACACACCTGGACTGAGAACTCCTCTCTCTGCTCTGTGCATGAAACTTGCACCGCTGCCTCTACCTTTAACCAACCCCTGCATGCTCATCTTCCAGCTGGATCTCCTCCACCAGCTGGATCTACTTCAGGATTAATGTCAAGAGGGCAGGAGATGCCAAGGGGCCCCCTGTCCTGTTCAGCATGTTGGTTATTTGCTGTGTGCTGCCATGTGCAAGGTCAGGTTGTAGCATTTCCAGAGCTGAGTAGTGAATGGCTGGGGCTCCAGGTCATATTCCTGATCCTCCAGCCTGACCTGTGATTGGTCTGGTGAAAAGCTGCATGTTCAAAGCTGCAGCCGGAGACAGGAGGACCTGTGTTGCCATGTGGTAAAGCTCAATATAATGCCAAATTCTCAGGAAAACAAAAAATAGTAGGGCAGTCGTGGTTTGTACCATCCAAAATCAGCAGATGCTGTTGACCTTTAGTCTGCGCTTTAGTGCCAAGGTTGTAAATTAATTAATTAATTAAATTAGTTTCTTACTTCAAAAGGGTATGTACCCAAGACAGAACTGCAGTTTGCAAAGCCTGAAAAAAATATGACAGAGATATACAGTATCAATCAGCAAGGGAGGAGAAAACCCCCCCACAGTCCCCCAGTACCCTAAACAGGTGGCATGACATTACTACACTCAAATCCAAAGATGGGCAACCCAAAATCACCAATAATGTTAAGACCTGGCCTGCCATGGTCGGGGATGAAGC